ATGCTGGCAGGAGACATAAGACTTCTCTTGTACAGGGACAGAGAACAGTCCACGGTGTCAGCAAGCCACGTGAGCATCAGCACATTCTCATCAGTGCCCATGCCTACAGGTCCCATGAGAATGGGCCCAGATGGATGCCTGCACATGCAGCAAGTTGTGTTACAGGAGAGGAAGTATGCGTTTAGGGTCTTAGGCTGATGGCTCAACTTCCATCCCACTTGTCACGTTTCCAGATGTCAGTGACAATCTGCCTGAGGTTGCCGTTGTGGGAACTGAACTAGAGATAAGAGTGGTCGAATCTTATTTACATGCCCGTGTGTAATGACTAGAAGCAAAGGCAGAAAAGGGGAGTCTTTTTTTTAAGTTTCTGTATTTTGAGATAGAGAGGAAGCATGAGAGGGGGAGGGGCAGAGAACAGAGAGAGAGACAGAATCCCAAGCAGGCTCCCTACTGTCAGTGCAGAGCCCCCAAGGTCATGACCTCAGCTAAAGTCAGACACTCAACTGACTGAGCCATCCAGGTGCCCCAGAAAAGGGGGTTCTTAGCACAAAAAGTGATACTTTTTCCTTCTCAACCATGCTTTTGATAAAATATACGCATGTAGAGGGAGAATGGGTACGTGTTTGGCCAATCACCTATAGCATCTTCAGGAGAGTAAAATTTAAAGTCTGGGCAGTTATTTATGGCATGTTAAAATTATTGGAAGAAATTAATTTTACATTTAAAAACTTTCCTTGACACAGCAGTATGAGCTGAAGGGAATGCAAGGCATCCATAAAGGTGGGAATGACAGAAAAACCTTGATCAGGGTTGTACATGAAGATAAAAATACTGAAATCTTTGGTTAGCTTGATAGTGAAATGGTGTTACAGCTTGGTCTTGGTGTGAGACAAATTCCTGGAAAGTCGTATAATAATTTTCTACAACAAAACCATGTTTTCTCATTAAGGTCCCTTGTAGTTTCTGAGCTGCCTTTCCACAGAATAAGTTTAGGTCTGAAATGTCAAAAACTCACATATGGGGCTTTAGACCTTTATCCAGAAGGTATATCCTGTGTTTTAATTTTTGCACACCTTCAGCAAAAATCCCTAGGACCCGTGGACAGTCTGTGTGATTGGCATACATTTGAGCTACTCCTTTTGTCATTCCCAGAGCCCCAGACAAGGACACAGGCTCAGAGAAGTTAAGGTGAGCTTAGCCATGCTCCCTGGGTTGTGGTGAGAGGCTCAGCCTGTCCTGCTTCTGGTAGCAACAGAGCTGCTTTTCTGGATCTTTTTGCCCAGGTACCAGTCTCATTGGACTGTACATGCTCATATATCATTAGTGCAGACTGCTGCTATACTCCCATTTTACAGACGTTCGGGAATGTCCCAGGCTCACCCAGCGAGGAAGAGGTAAAGGCGAGGTTAACACTGTTAACAGGGACCGGCTATTTCTTGCCTCCCAGCTCCTAGCATGGGGCCCAGCATAAGGCAAGGCACAAGGGTGGTGACTACTCTGGGGCAGAAATCACCAGCAAACAAAAGTTGTAAAGGACAACTCTTTTCACATTGCTCAGGCAGTATAAGTGAACATGATTTTTACTTAGAAAATTTAAAACTTTCTTAAAAACCAAAAGCAGTATTCTCTGAGTTCCCCCTATTTTTAATTTGTACGAATTTGTTTATTTGTAAGAGTGAGTTGAGCTGTCCTAGGTAGTGACTCAGGGGGCACAGACAGGGTGAGGCCTGGGAGAGGTCTGCTACCACTTTACCTTCTGGACAGTGTTATAGAGAATTCTGTGTTCCTGAAGAAGGGATTAGGGAAGGATTTATTGGGATAAAAATTATTTCCCAATCTTGTCTTCTCCTAATAGCCTTTCCCAGGTGTGTGCAAATCAGTCTCCTCACACAGGCATATGGCCCGGACTGTTAGCATCTCCAACCTTCTTCCTGACCCTGAGTCTCCAACTCCTTACAAGCTTCCCCACAGATTAATCTTCTGAGAGCGTATCCCACTGTTCAGGGGGAGTTTGGAGCCCTAAACGTGGCCCCCAGCTTTCCTCAGGAAGACCCTCTGCAGCCCCTCGGCCACACTGTCTGCTCCCAGCCTCTTGTCTTCCCCAGACTGCCCCTTCCAAGCCCCACCATCGTAGTCTTTAGTCCTGTCTGTCTGGAAGTCCTCTCTCACCCCTCAGCATTCCCTAACTTTACCTGTCCTCCAAAGCCTCTGCCCCATGCCTCCCTTCCTTGGACAGGATTAGAACATAGGGCAGTGTAGAGACCTGGTACAAGCCAGACTTGCTTCCCAGCAGAGGAGCCATGTTTAGAGGATGCCCAGGTGGTTCGGGGCTTGAACAGGAAGGGCTGTGGTGTGGGGGCTGCCAACAGCATTTGTGGGCACTTTGCGAAGCTAAGCTTTCTCTGGGTTGGGTGTGACATGGCACGCCTGGATGGGATGCAGGAGAGTCAGAAAAGGCAGGCTCAACTCAGGGAAAAGGCAGTAGATGAAAAGGGTTTGCTCAACTCTGGAGGTAAAGGGAGGGGGCAGAGAGCCTGGGGCCCTTTTTCTTGGAGTATCTCCCAGAGGCTCCTGGGCCCATCAGGGTGTCCAGGCCCTGAAGTCTAGCTCTTCAAGCTGTCCTAGGGACAAGGACATGAACCATGATTCTGGCCCTGTCTGGATAGCAATAGAGGCAAGCTCGGTTCCCCAGAGTCCGGCTGGAGTTCCGCCACCTCTTTGAACTGTCAGCACTCAGTGTAGTCTTGGTTTGGTTGTTAATTACCCCTGGTATGACTCTTCATATTTTCAAAAAAGATAAAGAGATATTTGTAAAAGACATACCTGATAAAGGGCTGCTATCCAAAAATATACAAAAAAAATTCTTAAAATTTGATAATAAGAGTCTGATTTTCAGATGGGCAAAACATCTGAACAGGTACCTCACCAAAGAAGATACATAGATGGCAGTAAGCATATGAAAAGGTAGTTAACATATATTGTCATTAGGGAATTGCAAACTAAAGTAACAAGATACTATATACACCTATTCGAATGGCAGAAATCTAAAACACTAACACCAACAAATGCTGGGGAGGATGTCTTGGTGAGGAGCTCTCATTTGTAGCTGGTGGAAATATAAATACTGCAGCCCCTTTGGAAGACAGTTGGTGATTATTTTTAATGTTTATTTTTGAGAGAAAGTGTGAGCAGAAGAGAGGCTGAGAGAGAGGCAGACACAGAATCCAAAGCAGGCTCCAGGCTCTGAGCTGTCAGCACAGAGCTCCATGCAGGGCTCAAACCCACAGACCTCAAGATCATGACCTAAGCCAAAGTCGGGCGCTTAATTAACTAACTGAGCCACCCAGGTGCCCCAGTTAGTGATTTTTAAATGTTTGTGTGTGTGTGATACACACACATGAGAGAGAGAGAGAGAGAGAGAATGAGAGCACAAGTGGAGAAAGAGAGAGAGAATATCTTACGCAGGCTCCATGCCCAATGTGGAGCCTGCTAGTGGGTTCCGTCCCATGACCTGAGCCAAAATCAAGAGATGGTTGTTTAACCAACTGAGCCACCCAGGCACCCCGGACGGTGATTTTTTGACAAAACTAAACATAGTCTTAACCTAAGATCCAGGAATCATGCTGCTCAGTGTTTACCCAAAGGAGTTAGGAATGCATATCCACACAAAAACCTGCACACAGATGTGTATAGCGGCTTTATTCATAATGGCTAAACGTGGAAGCAACCAAGATGTCCTTCAGTGGATGAATGGAATAAGTGGTGGTAAATCCAAAAAACAGAATATTTAGTGCTAAGAAGAAATGAGCTATTGTGCCATGAAAATCATGGCAAAATCTTAAAATGAATGTTATTAAATGAAAGAAGCCAATCGGAAACGGCTACTTACTGTATGATTCCACTTATAATGTGTGATGCCATGCCAGACCAACAAAACACATACCAAGAGTGAACCCTAATGTAACTGGACTGTGGGTAATAATGAGCTGTCAGTGTAGGTTCGTCAATTGTAACCACTCTATGGGGGATGTTGATAGTGGAAGAGACTGTGTGGAGGAGGGGACGTACAGGAATTTGGTACAGCTTTCCCCTGCTATCAAGGGACACCCAGCTGGCTCATTTGGTGGAGCATTCAACCCTTGATCTCAGGGTTGTGAGTTTGAGCCCCACATTGGGTGCAGAGATTACTTAAAAATAAAATCTTAAACACACACACACACACACACACACACACACACACACACACACACGAGCATTTCTAGGAAACCTTATGTAAGCCTAAATGGTATAAAGCAAAGAAGCAGTCACCATTAAAATGTTTAGTGTTCCCAGACCCCAAAAATAACCTCTCAGGCTTGTTTGATACCTTAGGACACATCTTGCTAACAGATACACAAAAGAAGTCAAGGTAAAGTGCAAATGTTTACAGATAACAGTTCAAAGCTCTGGTGGTTTGACTCTGAGATGCCGAGTTTAGTTCCTGAAGAAGGCACTTGGCAGTGCCACCACTCTGGCCGCTCCAGATGCAGTGCTCTCTCTGTAAATAATTGCTGCAAAACAAATACTGAATGCTATTTTCACTTTTTACCTTTTTTGGTAAAAGTGAAAATCCTCTTCACGTTTCTTTATGTTGGCTGGCAAAACAGGTACTAACATAGGTCTTTCATGAAAGCAAAGTGGCATCACTCAAACTTCTAGAAAGTGGGGGATACCCTTACTTCCCTCTCAGTTTTGCTGTAAACCTAAAACTAATAAAACAAAGCCTATTAAGGATACAAAGATAAAGAGACCACACGGTCAGTTGCAGACCTTTATGCAGCTTTGTGGACATCCTGCTCTGGAAACATTGATCGATTGTTGGTTGCCCTGAAGGTAACAAGGCTTCAGTTGGCATACTACTTGAAATAAATAGATTTTTCAAGTAAACAGGACAGTCCTGTCTGAGCTACAGGTGTTTGAGTTGTTGCATGTTCATTTTGATCTTTTCTTGTTCCCTGCAGGACAACCCTCCATATGATAAGGGGGCCTTCAGAATTGAAATCAACTTTCCAGCAGAGTACCCATTCAAACCACCGAAGATCACATTTAAAACAAAGATCTATCACCCAAACATCGATGAAAAGGGGCAGGTCTGTCTGCCGGTTATTAGTGCTGAAAACTGGAAGCCAGCAACCAAAACCGACCAAGGTAAGGCATGCTTCTTGTGTCTTTCTTGGGTGGTACTCTTCTGGGGATGCTGTCGCAAGGCAGGGGCGGCCCCTCAGTCCTTTCTAATGCCATGTCTGAGTTTCAGAGAAATCTTAACCTGACCCAACTCCAGTGCATGCACAAGTGCTACTGAGGTCCTGCCATTCCTTGTGGGCAGGGCACATCTCAGTCAAACTGTTGACCTGCACAAGTATTTGAGGAGGCCCTCCTGTGCTCATAGACCACTGGGGACACGTAACAGACCAGACCAGCCTCTTGTGTGGTGAGGGGGTCCCTGGAAGTTTTCATGAAGGATTGTGGGGCTGCTTTGAGTGGGAAAGGGCGGATGGTGTTTAAGGTGACCTGACACAGCAGTTAGCACATGAACTCAGACTTGAGGGAAGGAGGTTGGAGAGGCCCTGCCAGGCTAAAAGAAGGGTGCAAATCAAAGCAACCTGGCTGGCATCACAGTGCCAATGGCTCAGAGTGGGTGGTGCTGGGGGGAAGGGGCATGGTCAAGGGCTTTGTGCCCAGATGAAAGCACAAAATTGGTTTTTGTGGGCCTGGAATTCCTTGCAATTGGATGTGGCATGTGTCCGGGTACCTCTGTGTGAACATACACGTGCTCATATTTCTGGGAAGGGTACTTGATTCATTATTATGATTGGCCTTCTCTTGCCCCTAGATTTTGTTACAGACTGTGTCTAGTTTTTATTTAACTCCAGAACTTTGTTTTGAACTTTTAATCTTGTACTTTTGTGGCTTGCTTATTCGTAGCCATGTGAACCACTATACGGTCTTTGTAGATTAAAAGGAGTGAATGAGGCTGGAAGGCCTCACATGGTTTTTCAGTGACTGATACAGTCATATTTCATCTGAACCCTTGAAGATAGAGTTGAAATCCTTTTACACTGAAGTTGAGCCTCTCTTGTTTGAAATAATTGCCACGAAAGGTGGCTGGCCATCAGGCTTTCACAGCCAAGTAGTAGAAAGGGGTGGGTCTAGATGTTGAGTCCGAGTAGAGAGATCTCCAGTGGATGTGACATTCAATCATGGACAACATGATGTTTATGAGAGCTAATGAAGTTCTTAAGTGCACATACTTGGTTTTGTTTTGTTTTGTTTTTCTATACAAATTCCTAGCTCTGTGTTGGAAGGCCGTAGCTGCATTTGTTCAGGAATGCCTTGTCAGCCCCTCACACGACTCCAGGAGCCCTTGACGAGTTGTGTGTATCAAACACCATGCCTGGGGAGGGAAAATCCTTCCAGGGCTGGCTGCCCCACAGCTCAGACTGCAAGGCCTCAGAGTTACAAGATCTCCCCCCTTACCTGAGAACTGGAGGGGGACCAGGGATATCAAAGCTTGTAGGAGATACAGTCACAAATGAAAGTGCTCTGCTCCTCTTCAGGGACTAGCTGCTCAGGATGGGAAGATGTAGACACATAGCCAAAATGCTGGGCTCCCCTCCACCCTGAAATTAGATATCTGTCAGATACCAAAGGTAGGCTTTTTGTCCTTGCTGGCAGGCTTTTTAAGATAAAAATTTTGGTACAAGGTACTGTTGCGTGTGAAGTGATGGGGAGACTTGTTATTTTGTGATTTGGGGCAGTTAGGGTTTCTTTCTGGAAAAGCATTCTGTAGCTTGTCCTCACATACATCACTGATGCATGTTGTCCCTGGCGCTTGCTACCATGCTTCCTTGTTTCTGCTATCTATTACTGTGGTACAAACCACCTTAAAACTTCATGGCTTAAAATAACAATAATTTGGTATTTCTCATTCTATAGATTGGCTGGGCTCAGCTGGATGGTTCTGTAGCTGGTCATCCCTGAGGTTACTTGTGGCTGAGTATCTCTGTGTAATTCAGTGTTCACAGCAACTTTACAGTACATAACTATGGCACACACACACACACACAACAAAAACAAAAAACTAGGATCAGCTGTACCTGGAATGTCCAGAATAGGCAAACCTAGAGCTAGAACATAGATTAGTGTTTCTCAGGGGTGATATGAGGGGATTTGAAGTGACTGTTTATAAGAGTGGGTGTTTTTGGAATGATGAATATGTTCTGGAGTGAAATAGTAGTGCCAACTTCTGTTTTTCTATTCTATTCTTTCTATTCTCTATTCTTCTAGTTTTGTGAATCTACTAAAAACAACTTAATTGTATACTTAAAAATTTTTTTAACGTTTGTATATTTTTGAGAGAGAGAGCAAGAGCAGGGTAGGGGCAGAGAGAGAGGGAGACAGAATCTAGGGGCTTGAACTCACGAACCTTGAGATCATAACCTCAGCCAAAGTTGGATGCTCAGCCAACTGAGCCACCCAGATGCCCCTTGATTTTTAATTAGAAAGTAGAGAAGCATTAAAAATGAGCAAAAGCATGGAGCAGTGTGCCTGGGTGGCTCAGTCAGTTAAGCGTCTGACTTCGGCTCAGGTCATGAACTTGTGGTTCATGAGTTTGAGCCCCATATCAGGCTCTGTGCTGACAGCTCAGACTGCTTTGGCTTCTGTGTCTCCCTCTCTCTGCCCCTTCCCCGCTCATGCTCTGTCTTTCTCAAAAATAAATAAACATTTTTTAAAAAATTGAGCAAAAGTAGCAGGAGAAAAGTCAAGAAACAAAGCAAAATTGTATCAGAGAGGTAGTAGAAGTTGGCAATAATAATACCAGAAAAAAGGAATGTCAAAACAAAGTTTTGTACAGCAGTGTATCTGGTTCTAGTAGATATCTTAGAAGTAGAACAAGGGCTTAGTGTGGTAGTTGAATAAGATTTGCCATATAAATTGGAGTCTGTAACAAAGCAAGCATAATATGGATTCTGTGTGTACTAAACAATAGTGACAAAATATATAAAGAGTAAAATCAAATAATTCCTTATTTGAATTATCTTACAGTGTAAGATTAATTAGATTTTGTAGTGCATTTTGTGGAAGCCTACTGGATCAGACAGCCTTTGGGAATGGGGGAACATACTATTCACATTTTACTTTGAGAATGGAGCCCCCGGATCTCCATGAAAAGGGGAGGGGGACCATCATGGATATTGTTTATATATCCAATTACAAAGAAACTAAGAACAAAAACAAGGAAATGTTAAAGCCTTTATTCTCTGATTGTATTCATTGAGAGTGGGAAGTAAAATTTGATTATGTTCTTTAGCTCCTACATTTTGAGGGGAAAAAAATACTTCTGAGGAGCATTTGGGTCAAGGAAGAGATTTTTAAAAAAGCAAGACCATACCATTTGTAAAATATAATGAGTGTGCTGTTTTATGTATGAAAAATGCTGGGATGGGGCCATAGTTGTAGTTTGAAAAGCTGTTGTAGCTGTCAGTGTCCTTACTATCAAAACAAGCTAAGCTCAGTTAGATTTTATTACAGTTTAGCTGAAGAGCCAGAAGTATACCCAAAGGAACAGAGAAAGAATGAAATACTCCTCAGAACAACTGAATAAACTGGAAAATATTTTGACTTGATCAGATAAGCAAAAGCAAGTTCCCAGACAAGAATTAAATAGATGCAGCAAACTTACAAACTGATCATTTTTGAAAAACCAGTGTTGGGGTGCCTGGGTGGTGCAGTTGGTTAAGTGTCTGACTCTTGATCAGATCCCACAGTCCGTGGATTTAAGGGCCCTGCATCAAGCTCTGCACTGATGCTGCTGGAGCCTGCTTGGGATTCTGTCTCTTTTTCTCTCTGCCCCTCCCTGCTTCTGCTCATGCGCTTTCTCAAAATAAATAAATGAGCTTAATAAAAAAAAGAAAAAGAAAAACCAGTCTTAATAGTTAACAAAATGGTTTTTATACCGATACATTAGGTGTTACGATGGGTTAGTGAACAGCAGAGAGCCTGAATATCCCTCACAAAAGGTGAGCAGGAAAACTTGAAAAGTCATCAGTACCTCCCACAAAGCACTCATCCAGGCAAGAACCCTCTGAGGTTCCCGGAATGCTAATGAAGCATCGATTCTGCTACAGAACTGTTTCTGATCATGGGAGAAGACAGGAAGCCACCTGTTTATGCAGTGAGTCAGATGTGGTTCAGTTTTCCAGCCTGAAGTCAAGAGCAACAAAAGAGTATGGAGCAGTCTCAGGGACTCAGTATGGAGCTGAGCACAGGGTGGAGATTCTGGGAGCTTGCTAAAGTAGGGCCTGGCCTGCGAGCTGGGGTAGCATCTGGGAGAAGATGTGAAAGATCCTCTCTGGAAGAGGGTTCGTCTCCCAGTGTACGCGCTTTCCCTGGCTGGACAGGAGGGAGCCGTAGGTGCTTATTTTAATATTTGTTGATGCATGCCTTCTGTTTATGGCAAGTGAAAGTGATTTCCCATTGGAGTTAACGAACATTTACTTTTCCCTTAAAAAATGTTTACATTTTTAAAAGTGAGGTGATCTAGAGAAATAGGTAAGTAGTCACTTGGGCTATATGTGGAAATACAGCAAATAGTGGAATACCAGTGGTTGAAGTTGGGGAAATAGGGACAAACTGGCGTTATCATTGTTTCTGCTGTTACACAAGAGTAAAATATAGAAAGGATAAATCTTAAATACACAGACAGAACTATACTTCCAGGGCCTGCTTTCTCTTAGAGATATTTACGGGTGGGAGGTGATAATGCCTGCCCCTGAGGGTGATGTGGAGATTGGGTTAGAAACTGCCCTAGCCTACAGAGATGCTTCCAGGCCTTTCATTCCTGCTTGTTCTCCCCGGTGCATGCTTTCTGCCCACCTCCTCCCTACTCAGTGTGGATTCTGTCGGCCTCGCCTGTGCCCACCCGTGATCACAGGAACCCTCAATTGCCCCATCTCACCTGGTAGCAGTAATAGGCAGAGGTGAGGGCAGGTGGTATTTGGGTGCTAGCCAGGAGTACTTTGTGCTGTTCCCCCCACTCAGAGTGGACCTATTGGCTGGTTGTGCTTGTGCCTGACTCAGCCAGCGGTAGCAGGTAAATCCATAACTTGTAATGCTAGGGTGAAAAACACAGCCCCCAGCAAGGAGTCCATGTCTTCAGTAATCCGGAGGAGAGATGCCTTTTTGCTAGGAACATGGCATTCTGGGGGTGCCAGTCCTAATCAGGACTGGGTGAGGAGAAGTATGTGGGAGAAGGCAAGGTGGCTGCATGTACCCCACTTCTGAGGTGAGGAGGCTTGGGGCTCCTGGACCTTCTGTGCTCCCCTTTGATCTCTTTCCCACCTTTTGTTGGCCCTTCCATCCCAGGGCTAGCCTTCCAGTACGTCTAGGACTTACTGTACTTTGGGAGAGCGTTGTGGAACCCACGCTGAGCTTTGTGATTTCTGCCTCTGGGATTGAGAGTGTAACACTGCTGCGGGTTATCTGCTTTCCAGCAGCTCGGGTGTCAAGTGAAGCTTTTTTAGCTGGTTCAAAAGCTCCTAGCAGTCTTTCAGGATAGGCAGATTATGTATTCACACCGTGTAGACCTGTCCTGCACCTTTGATTGTCATGCTTTCTCAGTATACTTTTATGGAAACTCCCCTGACCCTATTGTAGTGAAGAACATGTCATCTAGTCCCTACCCTGGAGAAGCTTCACCTGTGTGTGCGAATGTGTGTATGTGCATGTGAGGAGGTGTCCTTGCTAGGCTCAAGAGCTCCACAGTTTGGGAGAAACGGGGAGTGAGAGTGACTGGGGGCTCCCCAGGGTGTCAGGTTCCTGGAAAGTTCCCCAGAAGGTTCCTGGAAGAGGTGGAGGTGCCAGTTAACCGCTGTTGCATTAGCTGCTTGAGGCTCAGCACCTTCTCCCAGCTACAGAGAAAAGATGGATTGCACCCTGGTGGTTAGAATTTTGGATAAACGGGAGGCCACTTTCTCGTAAAAGCACGTCGATATAAATCATAAATCAATGTTGTAGTCAAAGTTGCCCTTTCTGAGATTTTCTAACCAGCGGTGCCTGGTCCTTTTCTTGGCAGTAATCCAGTCCCTCATAGCACTGGTGAACGACCCCCAGCCCGAGCACCCACTTCGGGCTGACCTAGCTGAAGAATACTCTAAGGACCGTAAAAAATTCTGTAAGAACGCTGAAGAGTTTACAAAGAAATACGGGGAGAAGCGACCTGTGGACTAAACTCTGCCGCGACTGATTCCAGCGAGTGTGAGAGGAGAACCTGAGCAGCCGCATTCAGACACCCCGCAAAGCAGGACTCTGTGGAAAATTGACACGTGCCGCCGCCTGGCGTTTGCTTGTGGCAGTTACTAACTTTCTACAGTTTTCTTAATCAAAAGTGGTCTAGGTAACCTGTAAAGAAAGGATTAAAAATTTAAGATGTTCTAGTTCTGCTTTCTTTGTTTTAAAAATCACTGCTTCAATCTACTTTAAAAGAATGGTATTTCTTTTCTTGTCCAAATTGATCCAGAATTTTCAATTTACATTTAGCCCTTAAGGTTAAGACAAAAAAAAAAAAAGGTTGCAGTTCCCTTTCTTTCCCTGTCCTTACAACTCCTACCTTCGTGCATTCGGTTTATTTTTCATTCATTAACTTCCCCAGACCCAGGCCTGTCTCCTCTGCAAAGAAGAGACCACTCCTGGCGATTCTGGTAGCTTCCCTACTCCCATGTTGCACTGCCCTGTGTGGGAGTTGGTTCAAATTCTCCTGGCTCCAATTTATAACATCCTTTAAAGAAAATTTAAAAACAAGCAAACTAGCACTCAACCACCCCCCCACACACCCCCTCATCACCAGAAAAAAAAAAAACCGTGAAAAGGGAGGCCCAGTTCTTATGTAAAAATCTGGCCGGTGTTACCATAACGTTGATTAAATGGGCAAACCCTGATGTCTGTGTGCGTGATTGAACTTTGGCTTGGCCTGCTTGGGGTAACCCAGGTCTGTGGTGACCCCAGGGGAGGGCCCGCCTACCAGAGGACCTTGGCACTTGTGTGAGCTGGCACTTGTGTGAGGAATTTCTCGCCAGAGAGGCTCCTGAGGTCAAAGGTTGACGCTCCTCCCTGCAGCCATTGTAGAAGATGTGCCGGTCATTGCAGGCAACAGCGCCAAAGCCAGAATGTCCATGTGAAATTCCACGCTCACCTGTCACACCTGTCACCGAGCTCCATCTGAATGTGCCACGGAGCTCACTCTCCCAGCTCCTCAGTGCAGCGCAGCCCCACTGCGACCCTCCCTTGGCACAGTTTGAGCCTTTGCGGGGTTGGAATTGGCTGGAGTTGGCGGGACTCGGCTGTAGCCAGCACCAGTCTGGGGTTGCCAGCGCCCTGCTGGCCCCCTTCTTCGGAGCAGCCGGCCAGCCCAGGAACAAGACGGCCTTCCCCCTCCCTCTGGACTCACAGCCTTTGCAGAGTCAAGCTCCACTTGAAGCTCACTCAGTAATATCCTTTACATGTGTTTTATATTGTTTTGACTGCCTTTTTTTGTAGAAATAAAAATTGACCTTAGAATTTATCATCAGATGAACTTGTAAGGATTTGAATGTTAATGTCTTTTTGAAGCAAGCGGGACTTCCCCTGAAATAGAGAATCCGTGTCACTGACACCCAGAGGAAGCCGATGGTCCAAACGCCGTGTGTCACCAACTCCTCTCCTGCCACTGGCGGCTGCCCTTCTTGGCTCTCGGGGAGGGGGGGGGACTAGATCCTGTGAGATGACGTAAAGAAACCTTGCTTTCTGTTTTTAGTTCTCTTACTTGAGATCTTTCTAGGGTTTACAAACCTGTAAGATGGTTTTACCTGTGCAGAGGTGGGTGTGATGGGTAGGTTAGGCAGCAGAACGTTGTTTAGTTGTCTAGGTGTGTGGCCCCTGTGGTGTGGCAATGAACTCGGCTTCTTTAGTCCTAGGTACACCAGGGGCAGGTTCTGGAGACTCCCGTGGGCCCAGGAAGGCAAGAGTGCTGGGCCAGTGTTTCCATATCTGTCTCTTCATTAGCAGAAAGGTGATAATGGACTTTATTTCACTCATATGCAGATTTGTTAATAAAACGCCAAATTCTGTCAGAAGCTATCCAAATAAGCCACCATTTGTTCTTGTTGCTTCTCTGAATCCAGAAATATTGCCATTCTTGGAAACTGTCCCGTTGCTTCAGATCTCTACCAGCGTAGCTCTGCCCGCCTGTCGCCCTCTCACTTCTGTGCTCAGGAGGATACCTTTGTCAAAGCTGGCAGCCCCTCAGGGACTCTCAGCCCTGGCATGGCACCCCGTGGTTTGCCCCATCAGAGGCCTGGCCCTCAGAGAGCGAGGCAGTGGGTGGTCCCTCCTTCAGGCCTGGGCGGCTTGCCCTCCTCTAGCCCGGCAGTCCCCAGGGCAGGCTTTGAGCACGCTGGCGGGCAGCCCTGGCTGCTCCACAACCAAACAGCTGGGTCCTCTGGAGAAGGAGAGAGCTGTTGAGCAGCCACCACTGACCCGAGCCTACTCAGGAATTCACAAGCACCAGATTCCTCGAAGTGCGCCGGGTTCCCCCCTGCTCCCCAATGGCGGAGAATAGGCTTTCTAAGATGCTGCGATCCCATTCTGCTGCCCTTAATAAAAACGCTCTCCGACACTGGTTTGGTCTTGTGGGTTTCTTCCTTATTGGGGTTGGGCAGAGCCAGGGGCCTATGTTCTTGGAGATGGGGGAGGGGTGGCCAGGGCCCAGGCTCTTCTACCTGCGCCTTTCTCCCCATGCCCAGCTTTTCCAGAAGAGGCACACAGAGGTGTGTGGTTTTCCCAGGAGGGAAGCAGAAAAGGATGGTTATCTAGACCTTTGGGGCATGTGGAGGAGGGACCCATTGGGCATCAGGGGAGGGAACAGTGGCCTCTGTATATGCGTCACTTCAGTTCACCTGTCAGTCCTGAGAGAGTGGCATTATCCACATTTAGCAGAGGAACAGACAGAGGCTCCTAGAGGGTGGCTATCTTGTTCAACCTCACTGAACTAACTAGGGTGTGCCTGAGGGTGGGGCTAGGTCATATCCTTGAATGATTCCAGCCAGAAACCTGCCTCCAAGACCTCCTAAGTCCCATGAGAACTTGACACAAGCTGAGACCAAACCTGCCCTCTCAGCTAGGTCTGCAGGTGTCCAGGAGGAACCTTCCTGGGGTGTCATTTTACCTGGAAGCAAGGAGCCAGTCCTTTCCCTTGAGCATCAGCAGTGTACTCTGCCATGTTCTAGCACTTTATCCTTTGTGACTTTTAACCACATGGGCACCATTACCCCTATTTTTACAGAGGAAGAAACTGAAGTTCAGTGACAGGCAAGGACATCTGGCCTGTGTTGTTATAGTCTGGTTCCAGAGCCTATTACATTCCACCACTCGGGTTCCTTGGAGCCCAGACACACCCACAGTCCCCATCCCATTCCCCAAACCAGAGCTCTACAGGACCTTCTCTCAACTTCCTCAACTCTGGAGCCACCATTTTCTTGCCTTCCTCATTCCTGTATTAATTGTTCACCTCAAAATATGCATCTACTTCATCACTCCTGTGCCTGCTGCAGCCTGGCTTCTGTTCGCCCCTGGCCAGAAGTCTCCTGGCCAGAAGTCTCCTGAGGCTTCCCTGGCAAGGGCCCCAGGACTTCCTCATTGTGCAGTCCATAGGCTGGCAGCCTCTCAGCCCACTCTCTTTCTTCATTTGGCAGCACCTCTCTGCCCCACTCTGCAGGGCAGCTACCTGACCCTGCTGACGGCAAAGCCAGAGCTGATCTTCGTTCTTCTTGCCCCGTTTTGCACTGGCTCTTCCTCTTCTCCCTGCTTCCCTCATGCAATGTGGGGCAGTGGCACCAATTGGAGAAGCAGCAGAGCTGAAGGTGGCCTGACTCAGGCGGTACTTGCTAAATGGCTAAATGGGTGATTAGGACATGTTTTTGCAGGGGGACTCCTGGGGGCACCATACACACCTCAGAGGATCAGAGTGGAAGGGACTGCCTGGTGGTGGATGGAGGCCATAACCGAGGCCCAGAGAAGGAAGTCACTTCCTCCAGACAGCATTTTCTGAGCAGGCCTGGCTGGGTTAGAAGCAGTCCTGGTTTGGCCCCATACCCTACTTTGTGTTCCTCCCCCCTCCCTCCCACTACAGTCCGGTTCATACCAGCTAAGCTCCCGTGTATGAGCCAGACTGTGAAATCCTTGCAGCTTAGGCAGTCTGAGCACCCAGTCCTGCCTGACTCAGAACAGACCTTCCATACATGACTGATGGGTGCAGAACAGTAAACCCCTTGCCCAAGGCATCCAGTGCACAGCAGGTTTGACATAAGGAATACCCCATCTCCCCAGTGGGGTGCTAGTGACCAGCCCCATGGTGGGCCCTGTGCTGCCTGCAGCCCTCTGCCTTATCACTGTTCCTCTCCCTGTGAAGTGGACCTTGGTCTCCTGGCCACAGCCCCTCCTCTCCACTATTAAACACTCATGGTCCCTAGGGCTGATCTGGGCCCTCAACTCTGCTCACCCCTCTCTCCCTCCCTGGGCGACTCCACAGCTTTGTCTAGCATCTGTGCAGACCCCATGCCTCTGTCTTGTCCACCCATACCTCTGTCCTGAGCCTCAGAGCCACACAGCCAACCACCTCCTCTTCTCAAAGTGGCAGAACCTCCCTCAAAGGAGCTTCTGTGCCAATAGGTTGCCTTCAGGCCACCCCTACCAGCTGTAGCCTACATCCTGCAGAAATGTGGCCAGACCCCAGTGCACTGAGGCAAGGTAAGGGCAAGGCAATCAGAGGGCCTAAGGGATTCCAGTTCACAACCATGGAGGAAAGGGCCTGTTGCTGGAAGAATCATGGTCAAGGGAAGGTTAGAGTAGAAGATGGAGCCAGAAAAGAAAAGGCTGAAGCCACAGTCAAGAGTTAGAGGTGTAGGGGGCGCCTGGGTGGCTTAGTCAGTTGAGCGTCCGACTTTCGCTTAGGTCGTGATCTCGCGGTTCGTGGGTTCAAGCCCCGCGTCGGGCTCTGTGCTGACTGCCAGCTCAGAGCCTGGAGCCTGTTTCAGTCTGTGACTCCCTCTATCTCTGACCCTCCCCTGCTCACGCTGTCTCTCTCTCTCCCCTAGAAATAAATAAATAAAAATAAAAAAAAAAAAAAAAAAAAGAGTTAGAGGTGTAGGATGGGGAGAGCAGGAAGGAGGAGTGAGATTCCACCCTCACCACTTAAAGAAAGCTGTACATCCCTCAAGGCAGCCCAGGCCAAAAAGAGCTCTTTAGGCCCCTGATTGCTTGTCTGACACGCTGCATGGTGAAAAAATGTACAGGTAGCTTCAAAGCCCTGCCACTCCTACTTCTCGATCTGTAAAATGAGGACATTGGTCCCTGGACATAGCCACTATTACAGGAGATTAAATGAGACAGGATCATTGTTCCATCTGTCTTTCAACACTCCAGAGCCAGGCAGGACTTTGCTCCCAAGAACTGCCTACCAACTTCCTCATCTGCTCCCTGAAATCTCCTTGATCCAAAACACGAGCCCCAGTGACAGGGCATGCACACATCACCAGGTCCAGTGGAGTCTGGGATCCCATTTCCACAGACTGTTCTTCCTGGAGAATATTAAACAGGCTTGCAGGACCTTTTATTTGCCCCTAGGATGGCAAAGGACTGCTTGTTTAGAACAAGTGACTTTTTCTTTTTCTTTTCTTTTTTTTTTTTTTAGGAGCGAGCACACATGCACACACTTGAGCGAGCAGGAGAGGGGCAGAGAGAGACAAAGAATCTTAAGCAGGCTCCACACCCAGCATGGAGACTAACTCAGGGCTCTATCTCACAACCCTGAGATCATGACCTGAGCTGAAATGAAGAGTCAGACGCTTAACTGACTGAGCCACCCACCGAGGTGCCTGGAACAGGTGACTTCTTAAATAAAATCTGAGACTATAGTACCTCCCAAAAAGTAGCCAAGAAGTGAGACATTCTTCTCCCAACCCTTTTCCCCCCAAAATAATAATCATAAACAAAACCCGAATGTGGGCCCTGTGTTGCTTTTGCCATGTCTGCAAATGTTTTCTGGGCACAGTTAATAAACCACCCACGTTTACAAGACATATTTTATTAATACAGCGATCTCTGTCTACTACATCTGGACAAATAAGATGCTAACTTACATGACAGCTTGAAGGGCACCAAATGCTTGGCAGGCCCCAGGCCCAGATGTCACCTGTAGCCTATATGGGTTGCCAAAGCTCTGGCCACCATTCTGAGCCATGACCTGGACACAGAGGTGACATGGTACTACCCAGGGAAGTATGTTCCTGGACCCCAACTCTCAGCCTGGTTCCAGGCTGTTCCAGGGCTTGACACTGGCCCCATTCTTGTATACTATGGGCATTTATGTTTAGCTGGCTGTCAGGAACATGGCCGAGAGTGCTCCAGGAAGGTTTCCAGAGGGGCTTCGCCAGGGACCCCTTCCCCAGGCCTCTTGGAATCTAGGTCGTGGAGAGCACAGAGCTGCACTCCGTCCTGTGCAAGTCGGGCCCGCAGTGTGGGTGCGGTGAGGACACGCAGCTCATGTAGCCGCTCCCATGAGCAGGAAAAGGCATCAGGGCCCTTACCACAGCCGCCAGCAGGAGGCACGCTGGGGTACCCAGGGTGTGCCATCAGCTCAGCTGTCAGGGCATGGCCCGTGGGTATGCCTTCCAGGGCCCGCGCTAGTGCTCTTGATACGCGGTGAACAGACATGTGCCGGCCGCAGGTGCTCAGGCCCACAAAGGCATCCGTCCACCTGTGGAGGTTGGGGCATCAGGGGCAGGCAGGGTCCAGCAGGACTGTGATAGGCAGGGCTAGGCCGGTGACTGGACAGATCTGGAGTGGGGGCAACGTGAATCGACGTCTGACCCCCTTCCACGCTGAGGAACAGACATAGCTGTCAGGTGAATTGCCAGCCGGGCTCACTAGGATATGGGACAGGGGGCAGGGGGCCTCACCGTAGGCCGTAGCGGGAGAAGGGGCCCACGGCGGCCCGGGCGTCGCGCTCCACCGAGCAGGCGAAGGCACGGGCGGGGGCCTCGAGCCACGCGCAGCCGCCCACCCCGCGCTCCACTGGCAGCCTTGTGAAGCGCACCTCATTGGCTTGCAGCACCTCTGCGAACACCTGGCACACGCCTGCGGGCGGGGCGGAGTTAGGCAGTAGCACCTCCTTCTACTTGGGACCACCTCTCACTCCCAGCCCCCTTCCAGGGAACAACGCCCTCCACCTGGGAGCACGTGCACGTGCTGATGCCCGTCCACGTGAGTGGGGCCCCGGCCCAGTAACTCTCGGAAGCGTATCAGCTGGGCCTCCAGCTCTTCCCGCACCTGGAGAGAAAGGACGACAGGCACCTTGAACGTCCCGGAGCAGCTACCTAGAAGGATTCCCTCCAGGTGCCTCCGTGTGACTGCACGTTTGAACTAGGGAAGCATCCGTCGCCAGCTCCTGCCACTAACGGCTTCACGGTACCCTCGGGGCGGAGCCTTGGGGATCCTCGCGAGCATCTTCCTGCAGCCGCACCTCCGCACATCCGCACCTGGGGCAAAGATACGGTTCCGGCAGCCACCGCCTCTCGGAATCCCATCTTGCCGAGGAAGAAGCCTTCGGGGCTGAGCAGGGACGAGGCGCCTTGGCGGGCCGGGCCCACGGGGCGGCCCTCGGACAGGTTGGCGTGGAGGCCCGTGGGGATTTGGTGCCTGCAGGCGGAGCGCGAGCGGGAGAACTGGCTGCCGCGGGGCAGGGGCTCCCCAAGCCCGACCCTACCCTGTAGAGTTCTGCCACTCACCTGCGGGCCAGATCCGCCGCGCTCTCCGCAGCTGCGCCATTGACCAGCAGGGACACACTGGTCACAGCCCCCGCCAGGAAGGCCTCTACGATGCCCTCATCGCGCCGCGGGCAGTAACCAAAGTCGTCTGCCGTGACCACCAGCCGCACGCGCGGTCCAGCCATGGATACTTCCGCGGACTGCCCGGAACTCTAAGAGGACTGGGTCTAGGCCCCACCCCTAGATGCAGTCTGAGGCTCCGCCCTGACGCGCACGCCCTCACGCAGCTGCTCTTTGCCGTTGTTCTCGCCACCTACCGGTGTCAGTGTGGCCCTGCAAACGATCCCCCGGACCAAGCAGTGCACTCCGCCGGATTTATAGCAACGCGGAACCTTCAGTAACTGCAAAAATGATATTTAATATGAAAAATACAGAAAAAAAACCCTATTGAAAAATAAAAAACCGGGGCGCCTGGGTGGCTCAGTCTGTTAAGCGTCCGACTTCGGCCCAGGTCATGATCTCACGGTCCTTAAGAGCCGCGTCGGACTCTGTGCAGGTGGCTAGCTCAGAGCCTGGAGCCTGCTTCGGATTCTGTGTGTGTGTGTGTGTGTGTGTCTCTCTCTGACCCTCCCCTGCTCACGCTGTCTCTCTCACTCAAAAATAAATAAAACATTAAAAAAAATTTTAATTTTAAAATAAAAAACCTCTTTTACTCTTCCCTAAAGTCACTACTATTAACTTTCTGGATAGTGTCTCTCCAGCATTTTTCTAAGCAAATAAACCCAATTCCTTTTCTCCGCCACCCTAAAGTTTTTTTGTGCTGTTTTGAGAAGAAAATGATCACATCAGTGTTATCTCATTCTTGTAATGTTTCATTTTTTTGACAGTGACTATGAACTTTTTCAAATTGCCTATTTGTCTTTGGTGATTTCCTTTCTAAAGGAGGCTTTTAAAAAATTCTAGAAGTTCTAGATAAGAAAATGAAAGAAAACGTGTATAACAATGGCTTCATTTGAGGAAGCATTAGTCCTTGATTGCCCAAATTGAGCTCTGTGCCAGGATACAACTTTTACATTCATAATCTCATTTTTTTTCCTCTGTGGTCCAGAAAAAATTTCCTTACTGATGACTATATAGATAGTCACCATGGTTGACAGCGAGAGTTTTCATTGTGATGTGGCTGTGTTGATTTTCCCAATGGAAAGTGCAGCAGTTGTGTCCAGCGCATGAAATTGGTAATGTCATTCCTTTTTCACAGATGAGGAAACTGAGCCTCAGAGGGGAAAAGTGGCTTGCCCAAAGTGACCCTGCCAGTAGCAGAGCTGCGACTGACCTCCAAAGCTCTGGGTCTATCCTGGTCTTCCCGGCCCTAGCAGCCCCTTGGGTCAGGTGCAGAGAAGGCAGACCTGAACTGGAGAATAACCAATAATATGCCCCTGTGGGACATTGTATGGATCAGACTACTTATACAACCCTTATCAAGCTCGTGGCATAAGGATTATTGTGTTCAATTGTGATTATTGAATTGTTGGACTTAAACTATCTTTCTCCACTGGGAAGTTGATCCTGGAAAGGCCAGAGCCCCTGAGGGTAAGCAGCTTGGAAAGAGGAAATTGACATTTATTGAGCACTTACTGGTATTAAAATTATTAGAGATTAGGGGAGTGTGCCTCTGTTCCTACCCCCCAAGGAGCACCATATGGTAGACGAGTAACAATACCTTGTGGCAGAGTCTAGAATGGGGCTTTTGGTAATTCTGTTGAGGATGGCAGGCCTTCTTGGAAAGTGACACTGGGAGGGATATTAGAAGGAGTTTACTGGGCAGAGGGGGAAAGAAGGTAAAGATACACAGGGCTCTTATTGGGATGGCAGGTGTGTTGCATGCATATTTGATTTAATCTCTATATTCCCATATGGAAGTACAACTATTTACAGAGTAGGGGCAGATGACAAGAGGTTGAGTCACACTGGCAGGAAACAGCAGAGCTAGGAATTGAAGCTAGGTCTGTGACTTAGAGCCGGGACTCTAACCGTTGCGCTCAGGGACACTGCAGAGGGAGAGGGCTGAAGACTCCCCTGGGATCCCCAGCACTGGGCGAGGGGAGGACCCTAGAAAGGAGCAGAAGGCCCAGGAGGAAAGTGCTTGTGTCACCAGAGGAGACTGTGGCTTTGACTCTTTGGGCTTCCCTCAGGTGCCCAAGTCTCCTGCCTGGAGCAGTTAGAAGCATCCCCTGAGTCTCCCACAATGGTAGGCAGGGCAAATTCAGACGAGGTGGGGGAGGGGCCAGCCTGGGTCCCGCCCCCAACCATTGTGCCGGGGGAATTAGAAAGCATTGCAAGCCAATCAGGACGTAGCATGTAAATGCGCAAGCTCTGCAGACGCTGGCCGACTCCAGAGCTCTGTGTCCCCGCTCTGGAGCGGGCCCAGACTATATTGACTGGCAGTGAGCGAGCACGGACTCTGGTGAGCGGGTCGTCTCTGAGCCAGGGGGGCAGATACCAGAGATTCCGAGTTCTAGGAGGAGGGAAGGTCGGAGACAGGATGCAGACATCCTAGGGGACCGCACCCCCGACGACCCTGGACATGGACAGTACGCAGACACCCAGGGAATTCCGAGCAGAGGAAGGGCCTGACATGTGGAGGACGTGGGTGAGGGGAGGGAGGAACCTGCAGACCCCGGGATTGCTGACACAGTGGCTGACAGACGAAGGGAGAGTCAGATTCATGGAGGCCTAGGGAGACGCTCACGCCATCTCCCCGCCCGGCGCAGAGAGGAATCCGTGGCTGCGCTGCAGAACCGGAGAGAGAGGAGGCGGACAGCAGGCCGGTTCACCCTCACCATGACTAGCTGCCGCCATCACTCGGGATACTTGGCAGACGACGAGGCCGGCCACACCACCTACGTGGCCCGGGTAAGTGTGTCTGGCAAGACCCTGACTTTAAGACTGCCAAAATGATCCCCACCAGCTCCAGCACACCCAGATCACAGCCCTCCCCCTTCTCAGTGCCTATTGACCTCCTTTCCTGGCCTCTTAGTGACATCCTTATCACCTTGACCACTCCTTTCACCCCTTGCTGGGCCCTAGTCACCCTCAAATTTCATTCACTGTGTCCCCCGACCTCCAGCAGCTGGGGAGGAGCTTGGTAGACTGGTACTCCAGAGAGGAAGCAGGGAGTCTACTCAGGGCCCAAGGCTCAAAGTTTCAGAAACAGCCATGGGGAGCCCAGGGGTCAGGACTACAGGTGGTCTGTGTAGTGGAGACAGGACTGGTCTGCTCTAAGGACAGTTGAGGAACCCAACTAGGACTCAGAGGGGTTTGTGATTGCCCATTCCTGTCCGGCCCTGTGTGAGGGCAGAAGTGGGCTTCCTGACTCCCTAGCCACATCTTGTATACGTGAAATGTATGTGTCAGAGAAGGGTTAGGGTGACCTGAAATCAAACCCTACTTTGCAGAAAAGGAAACTGGACCTCAAGAGGGGCCATCATGCCCATGGTGTCACAACCTCCAGTGGCAGAGCCAGGGTCCAAACCCAGGAACTTCCAGACCCCAAAAAACAGTTCCTTTCACTGCCCACTCCCACCCAGCTCCTGGTGCCCTAGGACGACCTCCAGGGCCCCCTAGCCCTTGTGGAGCATCCGTGCCCTATATGACTTGCCTATCTGCTCTGGTACAGCCACCTAAGAAGCCACTGTTCCCAGAAATGGGGCAAGTCTCCAAGCTGGGCCACATGCCACACCCACCATCGAGGTACACCCCCACAGACAGCTCAGGGCTGCGTGGCCACCGACAAAACCCAAGGGACCCTCGGCCCTTTCGTAGCTTCCTGGATTTCCTTGTCGAAGGCCAGGTGCTGGACAGCCTACAGACAGTGGTGGAGGAGGCCACTGAGCGCATGATCACCATGAAGACAGAGGCTGGAGTGCCACTGGTGGAAGTGCAGGACCCTATAGAGGTGCCGAGGGGTAGGCGGCAGGTACGTGCCCGGCCTAGCCTCAGTACCGTGCACCGGCACCGTGTCAGGCCCAGCCTCTGCACTGGACAACCCAACAACTACCCATCCTGCTCCAGCTCCATGTCTGAATCCCATAGCAGCCTCACAGCTGGCTGGCTGGGCTCCCACAGTCAGGATAGTGACCTGGGCGCCCGTGGCATGGGCTCACTGCCACCCATGAGGGACAAACTTTTGCTGGAGAAGAACCTCAAACGGCTGCTGAAGCTGGAGAACAGAGGGGTGAGATCCAGGGCCATGGCGCAGGGTGGGTGGGATGGGCCCCAGTCCAGAGCCCAGGGCAAGGGTTAGGCCTGGCTTGGCTGCCCCTGGCTGCCCCTGAAAGTCCCCCTCTCTCTCTGCAGAAAGGCCTGGGTCAGACCTGCTTCCGGAGGGATTCCCTGCTGTGGGACTCTCTGGGCAGCCAGGCCAGCAGCCAGTGGACCCAGGAGCCGCCTCTGTCCTGGTTCTCAGGCCTGCTGGGCTCAAGCTCAGGCACACCTCAAACATCGGAGCTGGGCCTTGGAGAACAGGAACTGGTCTTCCTCAAGGAAGAGTTTAATAAGGAGATCAAGTCCTTGTTGAGCCAGCCAGCGTCCTTTGACCTGCCTGGCTACTGTTCATTCCGTGAGCCTCATCGGACCCTGGACTTTCTGGCTGAGCACCACCTCTTCCCCGCCCTGCAGAAGGTGGTCAGCCAAGCTGTGGACAAGCTCAGTGGCGCCCGCCGCCATGATGGCTGCCCTCTATTTCCATCAGAATGGGAACCCACAACAAAGCCCAATTCTGACTCCGTGGACCCAGGCTCCAAGCCAGCCACACCCACTGACAAGGAGGAGCCCTATGATACGCTACCCACCAGAGCCTTCAGCCCCAAGATGGTTCGCAGAAAGAGCACCAAGGACAAAGGACGGGCCAAGTTCAAGGAAGGTGGTTCCCCCATGTCTAGTGCCCAAGTGGCCACCAGATTCAGGCTCGAGGTGACACCCACAGAAGAACCCAAAGTCCCCTCACCCCGCCCCAGACAGGAGGCTCCTGACCAGGACCAGACACCACCCATACATGCTTCAGGGCCCCTGAGCTTCAGCCAGAAGGCCCAGCCCTGGCGGAGCCTGCACCTCACCCTGCCTGCCCCTGGGATCGTGGTTGAAGGGCCCTCCAGACAGATCCAGCCCACCACTCAGGGTGCAGTTCCTCTCACCTCCCCCTGCCCTCGCTTCTCCCACCACCTCCCGATGTTCTCACCACTTACCTCCTCGGTAAGAAACTTCTCCCCATCTCCTGCTTCACTGTATCCAGAGGTGACCTCAAGGGTGGGACTAGGGGGCTTAAGGAAGGGTTCCTTCAGCAACCACCCTTAGCCGCCATCACAAGTATCTTGCCCTGCACTGTGGAAACAACCTAAGCAGGGGACAAACTGAGGGGTAACAGAAATCCGGGCCTGGTTGCTGTCAGGTATTGTTGAAGATGAATAAAGCCAAGTTTTTATTCTGGGTCTTTTTGTAACAGTTGCATGTGAATCTCAGAGGCCTTTCTATGTGGGGAAGGTCCTGTCCCTTGTGGACAGCAGCCTAAGCCCAGAGTGGGCCCTACATCCTAGGCCCAGCTCCCTGTGCTCCCAGTAACCTAGAACAGGACAGGACCCTCCAATGTATCTGCTGCGGGGGAGTTGCTCAGGAGACATAGGTGACTTCACCCTGGTAGACTTCCAGCACAGCCCCTGACCTTCATCTCACCCATCAAGCCCCAGGCAGGCTTCCCTCCTCTGAACCTTGGCCTGGGGGAGAATCTATCAGAGCCAAAGTTATCCATGCTCCAGTTTGGGTGACACTGTGACCGACATAACCAGCCTTGCCCCAGGCCTGACCGGTTTGGCTGGGTGTGAGGACAGTGTGGTAAGTGTGAGGTGTCACCCACATGTAGGACCAGTGCTCAGCTGCTGACTGAGACAGCACAGCAGATATGGCAAGGCTGTAACCCTAGTGCAACGAGCGTGGCATCTGTGTGGGCGATGCGGATGGAGTGTGTGAGGGTATGAGGGACATCCCAGGGCATCAGGAATGGCATGACGTGTCTCCTTTTCCCTCTCTGGCTATTGCACAGAGCCCCAATTACAAGCTCATGAAGAAGAAGCCACTGCCCTCCATCTCATCCAATTCCACCATGTCCCACCTCTCCAACCCCTTGTACCAGGACCTCATCAACTACTTGGTGGAGCAGGTCGTGTCCTTGCTCATCTGCAAGTATAAGTTCGAGAAGAACCTTTCCAAGCAGCTGGGCTTCATCTCCTTCCCTGTCACCGAGACGCTCATGGACCTCTTCCTGGGCTTCAAGAAAGTGAAGGGCTCCCACATCTGCCTGTCCTCCAAGATCGACTGGAGCTGCCTGCTGCGCAAGCTGGAGGAGGCACAGTGGGCCCAGGAAGCGTCCCAGCACGACTCCGCTTCCCGGCGCACCTCCGCTTCCCGGCGCACCTCCGCTTCCCGGCGCAGCTCCCACCGTGGCACCGCCCATCGCGGCACCGCGCATCGCGGCACCGCCCACCGTGGCACCGCCCATCGCGGCACCGCCCACCAGGGGGTGCCCCCGAGCCACACGGAGTCCCCCTCCACCCTGCCAGAGCCGCCCACCCAAGAGGATGAGGAGGAGGACTCAGAACCCAGTCTCCACAGTCAGTTGCTGGACCCTCAGCTCCTCCCGGCTCAGGAGGATACTGCAGTCGAGGAGAAGGAGCCCAAGAGCCAGGAGGAGCCCAGGCCCTCCACGTTCTCTGTCACAGACAGAGGCTCCAGTCGGTGTCAGGAAGTCGTAGACATGAACGGCAGTCAGGGTGATGAGGAGGAAGAGGACGAGGTCAACGATGATGACTTCTTTGGGGACCAGGGCAAGCCTCAGAGCTCTTCTGACTCTCAAGTGGAGGACGATCACAGCAGCTACTCCAGAGACGTGGGCCACAGTGACCCTCCGTGAGGCCTGTGAGTTGCACCCAGTGCTTGGCTCCCTGCTCCTCCTCTTGCTCCAGTGGAGTGCTGCCGTCCCCCCACCCCCCCTCACCTCCCCCTCCGGCCCCTGCCCTGAGCAAAGGTCAGGGTGGTCTGAATGCCCACCAGGAGCTCTGCTGGTCTGCCAGCAGAGCCAAAGGGGGAAATAAAGCTTGTATTGATGGAGCACAGTTTTCTTGTCGAGATTTCAGCCCTACTTCCATGACTGAGCACCTGCCCTGAAGTAACACTTCCCATAGGCCTGGCCACAGCCAGACTTCATGACAGCTGGCCATGCCCTGACCTCACATGCATGCTTGAACACAAGTGTCTGCTCCTGGCTCTTCTCCATCCCAGTGTGCACCTTCCTGACTCTTCAAGCCTCTTAGGATTCATGGTCCAATTTCCTAAGGGCCCCTATGCATAATGGTTCCTGCTTCCAGAGAGCTCTTCCTCTTCCAAGGCAGCAACCTGCTACCTTTGCCGTGTCACACTCTCATGTTCCTATTGAGGAACATGCCTCCTCCCTTTGCTGATATTCCCATGACTACCTGTCTTCCTAATTTGTATCTCCCAGCTCCCAACTCCTGAATCTGGAGGATCCGAACTAGGTCACATAGAGGCTCACGGTCTGTCAAGCTGTGGATTGGCTGCCCCAGGCTGGCCACGTGACTACCCTTTCTGTAACGCCCCTGGCAGACAGGTTTCTCTGGAGGGGTCTGCGGGCATGGCTGGTGCTGTGATTGGCAGGTCTCATCTCCAAGTTTCTCCTGGGGCTTCTGGCCATCCTGTGCCACCAGGTGAGCACCCACCTTCTCTCTGCCTTCCCAGGGCAGCCTTTTGGTTCCGCTGTTCAGGCATCTTCACCTGCTCAAACCCTCTCCCCACCACCCTGTTGAAAGGGCATGTGAAGATACTTCACTCTGCCTCGCTGTGTGGGCTGCCAATTCAGGGAGATGGACAGGTGGCTCACACCCCCTGCTGGGTCTCACCTGGGTGTGTAGAGCCCCAGTCTGTTCCACCGAGCCTGACCACACTCGGCGGCCCATGTGTGAAGACACAGCGACTGCAGAGCTCCTCTGGAGCGGGTCAGGGAGGACCTTCCATACCACACCCATGCCCTGTGGTTCAAGGAGAAAAACCTGCTCTGCTGCCAGTCAGAGCAATCAGGGTCCTAAGCCGGTGGGTCAGGGACCCATTTTTCCAGAGATCTCTTGTGGCAAGGATCTTTTAGGGCATATGCTCAACTCATAAGGCCCATTCCCTGAGGCCACCCACAGTGGACCTTTTTGCCATACCACTTGGCCACTAGTTGATTAGCCCTCTGAAGACATTCCTATTCTAAGCTATGCCAGTCAGGTTTCTTTCCCCTAGGAACTTGCAATTGGGATGGACCGAGAGATTTTTACTTGTTAGGTTTATTTATTTTTAGTAAACTCTACACTTGGGGCGCCTGGGTGGCTCAGTCGGTTAAGCGTCCGACTTCGGCTCAAGTCATGATCTCCCGGTTTGTGGGTTCAAGCCCCGTGACGGGCTCTGTGTTGATGGTTAGCTAGAGCCTGGAGCCTGCTTCAGATTCTGTATCTCCCTCTCTCTCTCTGACCCTCCCCTGCTCACTCTGTCTCTCTCTCTCTCAGAAATAAAACATTTAAAAAATATATTAAAAAAAAAAAAAACCTCTACACCTAACCTGGTGCTCGAACTCACAACCCCAAGATCAGGAGTCACATGCTCTTCCCATTGAGCCAACCAGGCATGCTGGGATAGACTGAGAGATTCTGGTGCAGTTTGCACGGATTGCTAGACAAGTGTGGACAGCGTGGAGCAACATCTTCCACCCCTCTCTGGAGAGGCAAGAAAACGTGTCTGCATAACAAAGCTGGGAGGGGAACCCCAGGGCTCTCAGAGACAGCAGCTGGCATGATACCTGCCAGCGTTCCAGATCTCTCTGCCAAGTCCTCAAGGGAAAAAGAACACACCCCCACCCTGGCCTCAGAGGCACATGTCTAGGGAATGTCCCTGGAGTGGGAGCAGCCCCTTTGGGAAGCACTGGTGCACTGTGCTGAAGACATCTGACCTCGGCTCCTGTTTCAGGTATCTGTTGCTGTGTAACCCCTCCAAGACTTAAGTGGCTTCAAACAAAGTCATCATTTTTCCTGATGCAGGTGCTTTGGCAGGCTCAGCTGGCAGGGGTGTGGACAGTCTCTCGTGTGGGTGCTTTCAGCTGGGGACATGGCTGAGACCAAAACATCCCACATGGTCTCTCCCCCTCCAGAATCTCCCCAAGGCCCGTAACCATTCATCCAGTCCTCTGGCCTGCACTTGCTTACAGCACGGTGCAGCGGCCGGCTTGCTAGAGAGAGAAAGCAAGAGCCACTAGTCCTCTTGCAGCTCTGCTCAGAAGCCCCAAAACACCACTTCTGTGCCATTCTCTTGGTCGCAGTGGATTGCAATGCCTGCCCAGGTTCAAGGGGAGGGGAAATGGAGTCCATGTCTTGAGGAGAGAAGCAGTTTGCACTTACAGGGATGGAAGGAATTGTTAGTAGCCATATTTGGAGACCAGCTACTACCCCTCCTCCTCACTCATAGTTGATTTTACCTTGAGCAGTCCCTGGAACCACGTTGAGCAGATCAGATTCTTTTCTAAACCTGAAGACAAACTGTGGCTGGAAAGCAGAAGTCTGTGGAGACACCATAGTCAGCCCTGAAAATCTTCTAGCTGCAGAAGGTGGTATGCAGGGGGGAGGCAGAGAAAGAGAACAGCTCCAAGAAGCCATGACGCTCTGAGATAGTTGACAGAGAGCCACGCTGGCTTCTCCTACTCCAGTTCTGGGGTCTCTGCTGTACTTGGAATTCTGTCTTTGCCTGTTGGGGAGATTGCCTGCTGTGTCCGCACCATCCTCTGGTCTTACATGCAGTGGGAAGCCATTGGCAGCTTTCAGCAGGTGCCTGGCATATCTATGCCCCCCACCCCAGATTTTATTTTTAAGTAATCTCTACTTAATCCCCAGCCTGGGGCTCAAACTCACAACCCTGAGATCAAGAGTCACACGCTCCACCCACTGAGCCAGCCAGGTGCCTCTGATTTTTTATTTTTATTATTTTTAAAAATGTTTTTTATTCACTTGTGAGAGAGAGAGAGAGAGACAACATGAGCAGGAGAGGGTCAGAGAGAGAGGGAAATACAGAATCTGAAGCAGGCTCCAGGCTCTGAGCTAGCTGTCAGCACAGAGCCCGACGCGGGGCTTGAACCCAGTAACCGTGAGATCATGATCTGAGCCGAAGTCGGACACTTAACCGACTGAGCCACCCAGGCGCCCCTATTTTTATTATTTTTAAGTAGGCTCTGTGTCCAACTGGGCTTGAACTCATGACCCTGAGATCAAGAGTCACATACTTTACTGCTGAGCCAGTCAGGTGCCCCCTGATGTATGCTTTTTAAGGTATAAAAAGGTATATATTCTCCCTGTTGGAGAATGACTTGGAGGGGCCTGAGCAGTGGAAATACAGAAATCTGTTAGGAGGCAGTGGTCAATAGCTGGAGGTGGGGGGGATCAGGTGGCTTGGATTAGGGTGCTGATAAGGAATGCAGGAGAGAGGCTTCACAATCTGCTTTAGTGTTAGAGCCATCAATATGTTGATGATGCTAGGTATGCAGTAAAGAGAAGAATTAAAGATAAGTCTCAAATTGGGGGGAACAGAGATGCCGAGCCTCCCCTTGGGGAGGGGGAGCAGTTTGGGGGAAGACCAAGAATTCTGCTTTGAACATACTAAGTCTGAGATACTTGGTTGGTATCCAAGAGGACATTTCCATTGCTTCCCAGATTACACTCTAGCCCCTCCACCCTGGATTAGAGGCCCCTCAAGGGCAGGATCTGCCAATGCCAGGGCAGACCTTTGGCAATTTAGACACTCTAAACACTGAAAAGATCAAGTGTCTTAGCCCATATGTAATTCAAAATAGAAAAAATATTAAACATGAAAACCCCAAAGTAACATGTTTCTATAATTAAAATGTTTCTACTCTGGACTTTCTGAATGCAAAATTATTAATGATTTAGTTAAATATAAACTTTTCCGGGCACCTGGGTGGCTCGGTCGGTTAAGCGACCGA